TAATTCATCTATAAGTTTATTCGTATGTCGTTTACTTTCCATATCATAACATATTTTTCGTAATACAATTCTTGGTTTTGTTCTCGCGCTTCTTATACTGAGAAACGATAAAACTTCTGTTCAGGCAGTTTACACTAATTTGCCGTAATTATTAATACCGTATTCACGGTTTCACTTAAGTTTGAATCCGGAATGAATGGCAGCAATCCCGTTGCTCAAGTTTGTATAGGTGACTTCGCTGAAGCCCGCGTCGACTATCATCCTCTTAAACGTTTCCTAGATTGAAAGTTACAGATCTCCAATCACACTCGTTTGTGCACGAGAATCATGAATATACCTGATCCGGAAAGCGTCTGATGCTCTCGACGAGATAACGATATGATTTTCTATCGTTTGCCACTATGCTTCCCATAACAGGAATAACTTTGAACGAGTACCAGTCATAAATTCTAATGGATAACACCGATTAGATAAAGTAGTTTGTCGCCGACCAAAGGATCCTTACTTAGAAAGCACTGGGCTATTCACCTTACTGAATTCAAGACACATGAAACGACCGCCCGGTTTTAATACTCTGTGTGCTTCTTTTATTACCTAAAACAAAAATCACAGTTGATTTTTAAAGTAAAATGGCAGCATTATTGTTAATCCTTTTCATAAAATCTGCTTTATAATATCTCCCTGAAGAATGTTTCCGCATGATCTGAAACTTAGAGAATATGTACATAATACATTCGATATTCTGTCTCCTGCAAAGGGTATTTTGAATTGAATTCCCGCATAAAAGACCATTCCCTTTTTAAAACTATAAGTTAATCTTAAATAATTAAGTATCATTCTAAAAGGAAAGTTGAGGTCGGTTGTGTACAGAAAACTGGTACATACGCGTGCAAAGTTCTACCTTTACCCAAAATCAGTGTCACCAACCGAATATTAATTGTCTTCTATTGTTGAAACGGTTGAAGACATGACGTTAACGTGGTGTCGTTCTTTCTTCTGTTCTAATTCCAGTCTTGGGAAACCTGGACTGAAAGATTTCTTCACGTTTACTTTTATGATTAGTGAGAATTATGGCAACCAAATGCTTTCATTTTGATTTGTACCCTGATTTCCTTTTCCATCGACAGATTTTTGTTAGACGTCTAAAGATTACTCACCCTCTAGTGAAATTCATTTTGTGCCGCGGCTACTGGTATTCAAAACTATCATAGTACTTCATCGTCATTAGCCCTGGAGTACGTCCCTAACTTTAGTCGTTGTCTGCATCCAGTGATTCTCCAGAATATTAATCTCTTCGTATATACACGTTATTGGAAACAACTACAAAGTTGAAAAAAACTGAAAGGTAGTGAATGTTGGAATTTCGGTCTTCCTTCCTTGGAATGTCGGTCTGCCTTTTCATGATTGGGTCATTTTGGCGCCTTTCTTTTCGCAACGTTGACGGTACGGTGCTGATCTGTGTTTCTGTACCATCACCCAAGAGTGCCTTATTTTTAAACGCAGAGTTTACAGCCATGTAGCAAGCTTAGTGTGTAGTCTCCTGTTTTCTTTCCACAGAGTAATACTCATTTATCAACATAGGAAGGGAGAACAGCCATTAATGACCCAGACCGACGCTCAAACCCAGGACCTATCGGTTCTGAGTTCGATGGTCTACCGACTGAGCAACTCAGATCTAAAGTAACGTGTGGTAAATTCTTTGCTAAAGAGAAATCTTCAATAAGATAAAGATTGTCCTTGAACGGAATCCAACCGCGCACCTCCGGAGCTCGTAGCAGATCTCTTAGACAACTGTATGTGCCAATACGCCACAGCCACAAAGAATGGTATGTCGAGACAGTGTAAAAAATACGATATCCATAACCGTAGAAGGGAAAACAAACCTATTCATATCTCAGAATAAAATTTATATCAGTCGCTCTCTAACTGTAAACTCTGTGTCACACGGCGGGACTAGCATATCTGTCACTGCTAACGCTCAGTGAAAATAAACCTGGCAAATCCTGAAATGTTTAACTCCCCTACACTCTGCGAAGGACGCCATTTGTGGTACACTAGAGAATACGACCTAACTGTCGTTTAGATAACGTTAGTCAGGAATGCTTTGTTTATGAACGCTTCATCTAGTGTCATTAAGTTCACAACAGTCAAAATTTAAGGACTAAGATGTGCCAACTGTATAAATAAAAATCAACCCTAATTTTATGGTTTACCAGCAAACCGCTAGTTTAGAATACTGCCAGTATGAATAACAATCGTCTGTCAATTCTTCGGATTCGTACGGCGTAGTCGCTCCAAGATGTTGCTTCTGGTAACCTAGCTGACCGTTTAAGCAGATCAGACATCGCTGTATTTGGCACCTGCAGTGCATGAACGGAAAACGTTGAATTGAACACAAACATCTAATACCTCTATACGCCTACAAACCGAGGCACATTCGTTGGCGTTGGCACAGGTTTTCGTTCAACCTAAGAAAGTGGTGCTGTTTTCTTTGCACCGTAACGCTGCATGGGCTAAAGTACCGTAGGTACTAGTAAGTACGCCCCTGTGGTCTCCGCGGCTACTAGAAGCAAAGAGGCGGTGCGGATTTGAAGAAGCTACAGGAGTTTACATTTGTTTTTAGTTACAGTTACAGCTGGATTCCTCAAGCGAAGCTGGGTGTCATATAAGCAGAAAATATGCACTGCATAATCGCTTCAGTAAACGCATTAATTATCCTTCGCGAGGTCATAATGATGATACACTGAGAATCGATAAAGTGTTGCTTACGTAATCGACGTGGGTGCAGTTGCGTATGCCGAACGCGATGGTGTACGCGTCAAACGTGTCGTTTTCGAACGGTAGATCTTCGGCGTTTCCACGAACCCAATCCAGATCTAAACGGTATTTAGCTATGAAACATATTTCACATCTTCTACCGTACATTCGGTTGGAAACGAATGGCCACGTTGCTGACCAATGCGAAGCATATCGGCATTAATATCGACCACGGTCACGAACGCGTAGTCCCTAGCGGTGGGACCATGATGACCGTTCAAAGCTGACCGCTTCAGAATACGAAAAGCGATGTCTCCTACGAATACCGTCTATGTATGTATCGTTGGATAAAAAAACGCATACCTGTACCCCCGGCAGCATCGAGCACTTTCGTCGATGGCAACGGATTCAGTTTCTTGACGAACAGGTCTTTCCACAGACGATGTATGCCAAAACTCATCACATCGTTCATTTTGTCGTAGTAGGTGGCCACGTTTTCAAACACCTCGTAAACTAAATACACCATTTTTCATATCATCTATCATCAGTACTACGTTTCTGTGCTGCCACCTCATTGGACATGCCGCAAATTTACTATCCTATACGGTAGTACAATAAACAACGATTACAGCCCATGATTTCGACATACTCGATGAAAGTTGAAAACTAAAAACAGTTTTACAAGAGAAACATAAACAAGATATTCTGGGGTAGACTCACGAGTGGGATCATCCAGAACATCGGGTTTATTCATTTATTTTGGTTATGTGCTGTTATCTTGTTATGTTTTAGGCATTTGGAATTCAACATATGCATGTTTAACCCAACTAAGAGGTACGGTCTTGCATCGTATGCAGCAGGCGCTTAAATACAATGGAGCCATGGCCTGCCTGAATGGACCCCTAGGCGACTAGAAGCAAGGGAGTCGTACAATACTACGTTATTACCCGGCGTAAGATCTCCATTTCTCTTCATCGTCGCAGTGTCAGCATAAAGTAATAAATAAGTATTTTATTACACTACGTTTTCGCCATTAAAATCCAGTTTCAATAATTTTTAACATTGAAAACAGTCCTGCAGTACTACCAGGTTTGAGA